GCTGAAGCTGTCAAACGGATAATGAGAGGCGGAGGACAGCCGCACCTCAGGGTCCTAATGCCACCACCGTTTACACAATGGAGACAAAAAGGATGTCAAAAAAGAAAAAAAAAAAAATGGACCTCAGTACATAGTGCATATCATACCGTACATTTTATTTATTATGCGATAAGGACCTTGAAGTATCGGTGTATTGCAATCAGGGTGTATATATATATATGTATATATATACTTATATATATGTGTATACATACAGTATGTATATATACCACCTGGCACCTCACCACCTGGCAAAAACAATGCTGTCCTGAAAAATTAAAGCACAAAACCAAGAAAACAATAAGAGATTATTATATGGTATTATATTATGAGAGTAATCATGTGTATAGCTGTTGTGTCGTTATTTATTTAATATTTCTTTAACTCAACAGTAGGACACTTCTTTTTTGGATTTATAGATTATAAATAGTGATATAATTAACAAAATGTGCACCACATAAGGAATTTTTAGAACAAGAGCCATTTGTTTTTGTTGTATTGTTTTAGCAGTTTCTGAGGGAGGAAGTTACTCCAGCAGAAACCGACACACTTTGCCCCCCGGCAGAGGGAAATCCTGTGCAGAATGACAAGCCGAAAATCCTTCAGTGACAAGAAACCTTCTCTGTGAAATATCACTGAGGCCCAGGTGGGGGACAAAGCCTCTTCTGGTACTTTTGGTAAGCTGCTGATACTGTATAGTCTTAGTGTAGCTGAGAAGGGATTTAGAAGTAAGTCTCTTCAAACATTTGTATGAAAATCATTACGGCCACATTCCAGTCTTAAGGGAAAATGCAGCATGTGATCAGTCAACAAAGCTGCTTTCAGAGAGGACTAGACATTTGAAATGGTTATTGAACACCAGTGATGGAAAAAACAGCATTAAAATAAACCTTACTACTAACAGCATTGGTTTTTTTTTTGGAGGTCACTTGGACGTCACTTGGAGGTTGCTTGGATGTCACTTGGACGTCACTTGGAGGTTGCTTGGACGTCAACCCTTCTTTGACCAACAACTAACCCTTCTTTTTCAAGATTTTCTTAAAATTTGTACAAAAGAAATTTTTTTCTAAATTTTTTCCAAAAAAGTTTTTTCTAAAAAAAACAATTTTTTAAAAAAAAAACACACTTTTTATTTTTATGGATTTTTCCA